TTTCTAATTTCCTGTTCTTTCCTCTGCTGATGAGGATATCCAGGAAGGGTAGCATGTTGTTTTCTTCCTCTCTAGTGAATTTTATTCCTTTGAAGATGTTGATGCTGATGCTTTAAGAGTTGCAATAAAGACCCCCTGTTTTAATTATTCAGTTCATTAAAGCAACAGCAACTTTTTTCAAGCTCACAGAGAAGCCTGTAAAAAGGCATATGTTATAATAGCAGAGGTGCTGTGCTTGTGCAACATCTGAAGCACAAACATTTGAAGCACACTCAACCCTAGTTCTCTTATACATTTGTGTCTTATTTAACTAGCTTTGTTTTGTTTAACACCAGTTTTATTGGAGTTTTTTAAAAAAATGGTTTAATAGAATTCTTACTCCAAGAACGTGACTGTGGTCTAATACAGACCAACAATTAACAATAAAACCAGAACAGAAAGCAACAAAAGGTCAGTATACAAAAGGTGGTTTTTAGAAGGGTGGTTTTATTTCTGCTAAGATTTTATTAATAGTTCTCCTATTTAAATGAGATAAAAGTGGGACAGTTAATATAGCTTGTTCCCCCCACAGAAAACCTTGTGAGCCTACTGGAACATTTTCATTCCTGCATTACTTTGTAATCAATATGTATATAATAAAAATATGGCATTAATTGTGATAACCAGAAGTTTTACATTATAGTAATGATGTTCTTTTTTTTCCTTCTGTCAGACAATTCCTCATCCCTTCTTGAAGATGAAGAGCTAGGTATGGAGGCCACCAGCTGGCAGCTGAACAACACATCCATTAATGGCCACAGTGAAACTGCAACCACAGCCCGTTTTCCCAGCTGGGTGACTTTTGATGACAATGAAGTTAGTTCCATTTCTCCTATAACTGTATCTCCTGTGAAACAAGAATCCTCGTCATTAGCAGAAGCAGCAACAACAGCGACCACACAGGTCACAGATGTGAACTCTAGTACCCCCTTATCCTTTAAAAAAAGGGAACGCCCCAAGAGCACCTTGAGTGATCCCTCTAAAGTTCAGAAGCTAGATCTTTCTTCCATAACCTGGTTGCCATCAGTTGGTGGAACACCCCCCTGGAGCGCTACTAATCCTTTCCTTGATGTATCATTGAGGGATGTTCAACCTTCTCCTATCAATCCATTCAGTTCTTTTTTTGAGGAAAGGGATAGGCGTTCCCAAGGGAACTCTATCTCTGGAATCCCTAGTAAAAACCAGAGAGATTCTTTTCTTATCCTACATCAAGAACCTGATTCCATTAGCTTCAATGAGCCAAGTAAACACCTCAGACATAGAGATGCTATTGAGCAACTCAAGCAACTCCATATTGGGGATCCAGATCAGCGGAATGTCCTCAGTTTGCCAGATGATGACCCCACAGTCTCTACTGAGCTGGATAGTACCTTGTCTACTTTGGGGCCACCTCAGCAAAAAGATGGTTGGCCAATGATGTTGAGGATACCAGAAAAGAAGAATATAATGTCTTCTAGGCACTGGGGTCCAATACATGTCAAATTGACAGATAGCAAATATTTACAGCTCTTCTATGAAAAGGGACTGGAAAAGCCTTTTAAGGAGTTCAAACTTGAAATAAATCATGAGATTTCAGAACCCAAGCTTCAAAACTATGATGAAAATGGAAGGATACACACTGTGAGAATAGACCGTGTCACCTACAAGGAAAAAAAGAAATACCAACCAAAGGCAGCTGTTTCTCACATAGCAGAAAAGGAACAGGTCATTAAGCTAGGAACCACCAATTATGATGATTTCCTTAGCTTTATCAGGGCAGTTCAGGATTCATTGATGGATTTGCCTGCTTCCTCAACAGACTTAAGTACAGTGGGACTGAACTACCAAGAGGAGGAAATCACTATTGATGTAAAGGATGAATTCTATGGAATTTTGGCCAAAGGAGACAACAGGATCTTACAGCACAATGTATTGACACGAGTGCACGTGCTCAGTTTTCTTTCTGGACTGGCAGAATGTAGGCTGGGCCTCAATGACATCCTTGTTAAAGGGAACGAAATTGTTTTGCGGCAGGACATCATGCCCACTACCACTACCAAGTGGATTCAATTGAATGATTGCCATTTCCATTCATGTGTGGATGAGGAGGCATTTGCCAGTGCCCGTGTCATTATGTTTAACCCTTTGGATGCTTGCCGATTTGAACTAATGCGCTTTAGGAGTGTGTTTTCTGAGAAGACGTTGCCTTTTACTTTAAGGGTTGCAGCTAGTGTCAGTGGTGCTGAGGTGGAGCTTCAGAGCTGGCTGATGATGTCACCAGGGTTCTCATCCAACAGAGATCCTCTAACTCAAGTCCCCTGTGAAAATGTGATGGTCCGTTATCCTGTGCCACATGAGTGGGTGAAAAACCTCCGGAGAGACAGTGTCCTTGGGGAGAAGTCCTTGAAAGCAAAGGTGAACAAAACTGCTAGCTTTGGATCCACCAGCGTGTCTGGTTCTGAGCCAGCAATGAGGGTAACACTAGGAACTGCCAAATACGAGCATGCTTTCAATTCCATTGTGTGGAGGATAAATCACCTGCCTGATAAAAATTCTGGTGGGTACTGCTGCATGAATTAGATTACCTTGTAGGAAATTGCAATTTAGGTGCTATAGGCACATTAGAATAATCTTCAGTATTCTTTCCAAAAATTCAAAATCAGTTCTTGTGTGAAATGAAGTTGTTACATTTTCTGAAAGTATGAATATGTAGCAGTGACAATAACAACAACAGTAATAATATATGTGCATTGCTTCACCTTTCATTCAAAAAAAGTGCTTTGGGGTGGATGGAGGGTAGATGTAGCCAATGACTGAACTCTTAAAAGTGGCTACATCTTTTGCACTAACATAGTTGCTTTAAGGAATTGCAGGCAGGTGCTATATTACTGCCCTGTGCAGTCTGAAGAACCTCTATCTCTTTCCATCTTTCCAACCGCCCCCCGCTTCCAACAGGTCCATACATTGCTTTATCCATTCTCTTTTCTTCTTTGAACTTCTCAACTCTTTCTTTTTGAGGGTCTCATAAACTCCATTGAAACACAATTACTGTGCCTTCCCTTTTCTCTCAGTCCATTCATTCCTTCAAATATTTCTTTTGCTGTCCAGGTATTATTTGTTCTCTGTATATGACTAAGCTGTGTCAACATATTTCTTTGGTACAGATCACTCTCTTATATTCAGTCCATATTCATTTAGCACTAATTCATTCTTGATCCTCTTCTTGTTTTATCAAATACACTTCTTAAGTAATCCATTCCCACTGCATTCAACTTACTTTTATGTTTCTCCTGATACACTCTCAATTCCATATAACAAAATGGCCAGAAGCATGTTCTTTACTTTCTTTTGACAAACATTCATTTTTTGCAATGGACCACAGACTTCCTACTGCCTTCTACCAGCATTTGTACATCTTAAAATTTCTCCATACGTTTTTAAATCTTTGGTAAACATTCTGCCAAAATACACAAATTCATCCACTTGCTTTAGGCCATTTACGTATACCTTGCAATTTTTCACTTCATTTTCCCTGTCAATTGCAACTATCTTAGACTTTAGTACTTTAATTTTCAGATCCATACTCTATATTACATCATACCATCTTACATTTACTTTAGGACACTATAATTAATACTGTACCATCCAGTATACAAAAATACATACATATTCACATTCTCAACCAACATATCTCTAATGTTACCAACACCATTCCTTATATATTTATCTATGAATACATTGAACAACAAACGGGACATCATAATTGTTGTCTTACTCACTGCACAGTGTTCAGCCATTCACTGAACATTTCATTTATTTCACATGCTTTATTTCCATTGTAAACCAGTCTTTTGCATTTAGCAACCAACTTTCAATTCCATATTCACCTAAAACCGATAGTCCAAATCTATCCATTTTATTTTACACATTTTCTAAATCAACAGATATATAACAAATCTTTTTCCTCCCCCTCATATACATCTCTAAATGATTTGCTCTCATCCCTTCTTAACCAGAATTCTACCAAATGACTTCAAGGCACAGTATACAGATTAATCCCCTCGTTGCATACACTGTTGATACTGTCTTTCAGCCAAACACAGATGCAGTCTTCATGTATGTGTAAAGCAAATTGCACAGCTACTCTAGAGGTAAACCACATCCATGTTTTCACAGTTCCCCAGTTACATCATTTACACCTGCAGCCTTACCATCTTTTTCAACATTCTCACAGCATTTGTACATTTCATCATTTTTTCTTGGTTACTAACATTCATTTCTACTCTGTATAATTCCCATAAAATTCCGCTTCCAGCATCCCCTCACTCCAGTTTCTTCCCAAATGATTTCATCACTTTATTAAAATAAAATTCCATTTACTCCAGTAGAAGCCCCCTGTTTAGCCCTTTTCACCCATTTCCAAAACAATTTTTATTTCTCTCAAAATTGTTCTGCATTTTCTCTGTTCTTTTCATACTGGATATTGCTTTGGTTACATTTAAAACAATATATGGAATAAATACAGGAAGGCCTCTCAAAATATAAACGAACCTTGCAATTATATTTATCTTAATCACAGTTATATTACCCCAAATATCCAAAAAAAATTCTAGATAATCTGTCTAGATCTTTCATGTGTATCAAAATAGATGTCAGCCCCTCAAGGTAGACCTGACTAGGAAGCCAAAGTCATGCAGGCTAATACTACTTTTATCATAAAGTTATAGTAACAAAATCCTGCAAGTCTGAATGTGCTTCCCCACTCCCTCCCTATACCTTCATGAGAACTAGGGAGAATCTTGTCTGAGATGTTTTCTTAAGTTACAGTTCTGCCCCAGACTCGGGTTTCTTTTATCTGACCATTGTCTTGGTTGAGACTCTTCCTCCTGTTCTTCAAGGTTATTCTCACACCCATTACAGCCCATTACATTAGGGGATAACTTCAGATTGCCAGTGGAGAAGGACTCTTGGATGTTCCAATGACAAATTGAAGTCAAAATATAAATTAAATCCCTATTCCTTTGCACTTTCTAGTGTTACTGTCACCCAATGGCATTGAGTCCGATTTATTCTACTTTATAGAATAACCAGAAAGCATTTCAAACTAATGTATTAATGAAATAGCATTAGAGATTTCTGATCTATCTATAAAGTACAAAATATCAGCATACAATATAATCAAGCCCCACTCCCTCCACCTATCAATTCCATTGATATTTTTAAAAGTCTAAGTGTACAGGCAAGGGATTCTAAAATAGATTAAGAAAAAAAGAAAGAAAGAAGCATTAAATTAAGCCAAAGAGAAGACACACTATCACAGTTAACCATGATTTAAGGGCTGAATAAATCATATAAATCCAAAATATAAACCTGAGAAAAAGCAAAAAAGATTAAAATTCAAAATTGGCAGTAAACCGTATCAATTTTTTTTTCAGCATCCAAATAAATCATATTTGGTGTTTCTTGTACATTTTGATTTAAAGAAAGAACTTCAGTTAAAAATCTAATATTGTCAGAAACTTGATGGCCCTCTATAAAACCAGTCTGAGCTTGGTACACTATAACTGGAAGAATACCATGTAATCTGTAGCCAAAGTAGCTGTTAAAATCTTAGCATCCACATTATCAGTGAAACAGTTCTATAGTTTGGAACATGTAGTAGATTCTGTGCGCAACAGCCAGATCACTTTCAACCTCTACATGAATAATATCAGGACAAAGATAGCCATGTTATTAACCATTTTTATTTTGTTGTAAAATCAAGGAAAAACCTAATACAAGGCTTTTTCTGTATTCAGTTTCAACCACCAAGCAGGCCTCCTTCAGGATTTTATTCCTCATGGCAAATCTCACAAGGCTTATTAGCTGTACAAAAAGGAGAAGCTGTAACACAGTGAGCCTTCTGAATATGTAGTTGATAATCTGCCAGCAAAAACCATTACTTTCTGAATTAAAACTTCAGTGAAAGGAACCAGCTGGCCTTTCTCACATGCAGAGTAGTTCAGCAAGTGTGAGATTCCAGAGTTGTTCTTTTGTTCTGAATCTTTAGTAAATAGATTATTAATGTATTCACTGGCTTCTCATGATCTTCCACCTAAGATACTCTGTTCTCAGCTGCACTCTTGGAGTGTTTAGTACTAACAGTGTCTTTTATTGGTTTAACTCTTCTCTAATCTTGAGAACAACTACCACATCTTTCACAGCAGCTGCCAACACTCTGGCTTCATTAGAGGAATTTCAGAGACTGCTGATAACTGCCTGACTACAACACCATCTTGTCTGGACATGCCTGATCTCCTGGTGTGTCACAAGCAGGCCCCTATTGAGCGCAGAGTCAGTTCCATTCAGTTTGTGGCGGTAACATACAAAAAGACTAGACTGCTTGGCCCAGGCAATTGAGGGTTTAGGATGTTTTTCAATTGAAAATGCTCCGTGAGCATCGTTTGTAAAATTGGACAGTGAGCACGAAATTTATTGAAACATTGCTACTTCCTTGGTTAACAAAACAAAACTTTTCTCTGTCCCATTGTTGTCAGTGAATCACAGCTAGCTCTAATTAACACACGAACACACGAAAAATTATTAACAAAACTATTTTTCTCATATTGGAAAGCATTCCTGTTTGCATCAGACAAGAAACAAACATGAAACAAAGTCAGGAATAATCAAATGAACAGCAGCAGAGGTGTCAGGTAATAGAGGAGTGTTATAAGAAAGGAAGACAAGATTATGTTCCAGAATTGATATATTTTGAAAAAGTTTTCCAAGACAGTATTAGCAGTGATAAACAGTATTTGATGAAACTGAACATTTCTGAAATGTATCTAGTTAAGATCTCAGAAAATGAAAGGGGTTGGGGCATGTTAGAAAATAGAATCTGAGTTTCTCTGTTCAGCGTAATGGTCTCTCCTGATTCCAGAAATCCAGTCACCTACCTTTATTGTACCTTTTTTATAATCAAAAGTCATAGCAAAAATTTTTAAAAATGAAAACTTAATCATTAGAAAGGGCATAACTTGCATAGACAACACTTAAATATGTTTTCAAAAAAATGTATATCCCACTTAACAATATTAAAGCTTCCAAATATTGAAATATTATTCACATTTATATGTATTATATTTATATCTTTTCAAAATCAGAAATGACTTTCAGTGATTAACATAATACAGACAAAATTAAAACATCTGTGATAAAAATAAAAATTAGAAACAATTAAAACAAACTCAAGCCCTATTAGACTAGCCTAAATTGGGATTGAGTAATCTATGGATCAATGTGTTGTAGTGGTTTACTTGTTTAAACATAGCATGTTTTAAGAATATAGCAATTGTGTTTGTCAGCCCAGATTTGGGGGTTAGGATTTTGGGGAAGCCAAATCCTGTCAAAACCTAGTCATAAACTATCTTCAAAAGCAATAAACATAGCCATAAAAACAGATTCATTGGTTTAAAAAATATAAGGAAAATAGAGACAAAATAGAAATACCAATAAAAGTATTTTGAAAAGTTAGTGAAAACAGTTAGAGCAACAGACTTTAGAGAATCCAGTGATTTCTGACCAAGAAAAAAGTTCCAGTGTTGGGTGGATATGTTTTGCTTTCAGGTGTCTTGAAAAGCAAAAGAAAATATTAGAATCACCCTGCCAAATCACGGAGAACACTTTATATAGGTTTTTACATTTTTGCTTAGTTCTGACTCCTCAGCAGGTGGCAACACCTGAAGTGGTTTAAAAACAGCAAACCATAATTAGACCTGGGTAGTAATCAGATGGAAAACAGCTATGAAATCCTGAGGTGTGGACTAGACTGGGAGGTTGAAAAAGCATCATGAAAAAAGATAATAGGAAACTACTTTCAAATTCTTGCTAAGAAAACACTATGAATCTAATCAGCGGGAGTCTACCTTGAATTGAGGGAGACTATACTTTTTAGTTCTCAGTGAGGTGAACCTGCGTCTGATTACAGATGGAAGCTCATAATTAAAAGCATTGACATCCAAGAAAGCTCCGGATATAGAAAACTAGATGGACTGTGTTGGGTTTTTTAAACAGAAAAGTATTCAGTCACAGCTACCTCTTTCAACAAGTTGAAATGATTCAACCCAGTTATAGGTTTTTGTTATCTTAATGTGGGTAACATTAGGGTTCTTGGCACTAAAAGTATTTACTTACTTACTTACCTATTTATAATATTTATTCTTTCTTTCTTTCCTTCCTTCCTTATCTATTTATAATATTTATTAACTATCTCTATCCAGAGGCCCTAGGTAAGTGCACCAACTTACAGACTGGATTCCCATATGATTCTAAACCAATGAAAGCAGTCACAATATAATCCTCTGCATGTACACTCTAGAACAGTGTTTCTCAACCTCAGCTGGCTGGGGAATTCTGGGAGCTGAAATCCATACATCTTGAAGTTGCTGCAGTTGACACTGCTCTAGAACTGTTGCATATAAATAATAGGGCCATTGTAATCAATGGATGTTCATATGACCTTGGCATAACTAAATTTTACTTCTAGCTTGGACCTTGGTAAACTGATTTTGTGATGCATGGAAATACCTATTGTCCTTCCTGAATACAAGGCAAGTGTTATAACAGTGCAGCTGTCTTTTGTTGTGTTTGAGGAGCAGCTGTTCTGATGTCATAATACTGATCTTTTTTTAAAAAAAATGTTGGGCCAGTTTGAAGCTGTAAGATCAAAACAGCTAAGCTGAATTCTGAATTCCACTGAAGAGCATTGCTTTTACAGTATTGTTCCAACAGCAGCTTAGTAACTTCTGTTGTGTGTTTCTCCATAAACAACTTGTTGATGCTGGCTGATAAATAATGAGTCTTATTCACAGGCTGTGAGAAGTCTCAGTCCCAACTGCATATGATTCATCGTTTCAGCACAAGAGGGTGTTTTTAGTTAGCCAGTATCAAGCAGAATGAAGAGTGTTAAGAAAATATTGATTCATGGAGTGTTTTTCTGCCTAGCCTGAAAACAGGCCAGCACATATTGGATAAGAACAGACTTAAATCACAGCTTTGGATCTGTACACTGTAGAAAACTGGTATTTAATCATACATCCCTTTCTCAGTACGCAGTGTATGAGAAGTGCTAGTTTTAAAATAAATCACCTGTGAATCTCATATGGATTATACATGTGTGCACAACCAGCAAACAAGCTTTGTTCTTGTGTCACACTGACTCGTTATATCTTTGGTTTGGGGCTTTGCAGATTGCTTGAACCTAGCCAAAATGGTTTATAAACTGCAGTTTATGATGCAGTGTGTTTTGAGAACCAAGTCAATTGTAGCTTATTCAGTAATTTGTAGATAAACAAACCATGGCTTTTACTGCAATCTGTGATCCCAGTTACAGAGAAAGACAAAAAGAGACTCTCATAAATTAGGCACCTTCTCTCAAATAATATCCCGAATGGAGTGAACAATTTTGATTCCATATCACAGATGCCCTCCAGAACACTGGATGACATTTGCTCCTCAAACATTCTTCACTCCTACTCTAGATGGTGGTAAGTGAGACTATGGCAGTGTCTTTTAAACAATGATAAAAAATTATTCTGCTTCTGCTTCTAAAGCAGAGATGATCAAACTTTTTGTTATTGAGTGCTTCACGGCTTTCAGAATAATCTGAGGCTGCATACCGCTCATCTGTTGGCTGAAGCAAGTAGTGAGCAGGCCAAGAGCCAAAAACAGGTAGGATTCATCATTTTGTCATTCTGTCCTCCCCTTCGTCCTTCTCTCTCTCCTCTCTTTTGACACTTTCTTGTGTCTCTTTCTATCCAGCAAACTGTTGCCAGACAGACTGACTGTTCATGCCAGAAGTCTGAACTAATTGCTTACAGAGAACTTTTGAAATTACAAAAGAGCCATACTACTGCCCTTCTGTATTTTAAATAAACATCTGCTTAATCTATATTATGAAACACCCAAATGTCAAAGAAGAAAAAGAAAACTTCTACTTGCATGTATATATTAGCTATCATAGTTAGATTCAGCTTGGTGGTACATGTCAGTTCATTGGTGTCTTACACAAAAGGCAAAATAATATCCATGGGAATAATTCAAAAAGCTAATCTTGGTGTATGTCATCTGTACCATTTCAGTCTCTATAATGTGGAACAGGAATCAGGGCAGAGGTGGAAACTAGGTCATCACTTACATGATATACTGATGGAATTATTCTTATAATACAGACAGGGAGATTGGGGCTCAGATAATGATTGCCCAAGGTCATTCAGTAAATTCATGGCTGTGGCAAAATTTGAATGAGAGTCTTCCAAATACAGAACTCAGATATACTAAAGCACAATGCTACACTAGCTTTAGTATATCTGAGGTTTCTGTCATCGGTGATTCCTGTGACATTGTAAGAGGGCACACTTAGATTCAGGTATCTGGGACAAAAGGTTGCCCAACCATGTTTGATACTGTTCATTGTTGTCTAATATCCAGTGTCACAACTTTGCTTTAGAACTGATATCTCTCAGCCTAATTATATCTTTAATAAATTACATGAATAAAACATTTCTGAATGGGAGCAAACTAGGTATGCATCTGGAGCTTCACAAAGAGAAGAGCAGCTGAGGAATACACTTAGTAAAAAAAAAGTCGATGGGGAAAAAGTTAAGTACAATTTATTTCCCCTTTTTATTTTTGGCTTTTCATTAAGAAATATGTCCTTGATATTTTCTTATAAACAATAACATGTAATAAATCAGAACTTTTTTTTACACCTTGCACAAGTATATACCAAAGATTTGCTTTGCAGCCCTAGAAAAAATTAGGTGATATATTTGTTCTGGAACATTTCACATGAAGATAGTACATGGTTCAAAATGATTATCAGTGGTCATTAGCCAAGAACAATGAGATGTGCCAATTTCTCTATATAATTATGCCTCAGTCTCCTACATTTTAAAGGGAACTGGGCTTTCCTTACTTCCTCTGGATTGGGCATTTTAAAGGACCATGCTTATCTCTGTATGCATTGGATTATTCTTTTCTAAATCGACATGGGTCTGCCAGCCCACTGTAAACATTTGTGGCATACATCAGCCTTAACTTCTATCATATATGATGTCAAATGATAATTCTGCATGAAAGAAGAGTCATCCAATTTTTAGCCAGCATTAGCTGACAGTTTTTCAAGCATTTTTCCAGGATTCATAGTGATGTATTCATACTCAAAAATTTGCAAGGAATGGCAGAAGGAACCTTTGAGAGTTGTGTACCAATATTCTAAAACAAATGTGGGCAGTGTGGCTTTCCAGCTCCCTTCAGTTAACTAATTTTGCCAATGGTAATGGATTATAGGAGCTGCAGTTCAGTTCTGTCTAGAGAGGTTCTAGAATTAGATCAAGTATTTGGAACCAGTAATATTCTAGTGAAGCTTTATTTAATGTCTCTCTATCTGTCAAGTTTAACTGATTTAAAAAAAAAATAAGTTGAGCGTCTCCATATCTTATGTCAGAAATGTTGACATCAGAATTCTCACATAACCGTTTGAGTAATTCAGTGGCTTTCTTTGGTATTCTGTTTTTAAAAGGTCTTTCTTAGCCCTTTCCTTCTAAGATTCCATGTTGGTGTTTTCAGTTGCCATATTCTTCCATTTCTTTTTAGCTGCAGGTCATCCTCATTGCTTCTTTTGCCACCTGGAGCTTGGCTCAGACCAGGAAGTGCCTTCTCGTTTTGTCCGCTACGTGGATGTAGACTTTGATATGCCAACCAGTTCAGCATCCAAGGCTGCCATTCGGTCCATCTCTGTGGAAGGCAAGACGGATGTGAGGAAGTGGGTGAATTATGCAGCACATTACAGTTATAAGGTATGGTTGAACAACTGATAACCCCCCCACACACACACACACACTTTTTTTCTTCCAGAGTTGGAGTGGCTTGGAGGAGCTTGTGGGTTTGCTTATTTCTGCATACAAATAAAACTTTTCATAGCATGCCTCCTAGTAGAATCACTAATGTATGAACAGTCAGATCTTTTATGCTATCTCATGTAAGTTGCCTGTAGTAAATTAATGGTGCATTCTCCAGCTTTTTGGCAAAACATACATTGTGTGAAAAGGCCCCAGGCTCAGACCCTGACATCTCAAATTAAATGATCTCATATAATGAGTCAGAAGGATTTTTTTCCTGGGCCCCAGGAAAACCACTTTTAATTACAATGGGACAACATTCTGTACAATACTTAGCTTTTCAGTATGGATTCTTAGATTATTATAGAATTATATTATTATTAATAATATAATTAATAATTAGATTATCATAGAATGGGAAGGAACCTCAGAGGTCCTGTAATCCAACCCACTTGTCAGAACAGGATCTATTGAATTGTTCACTCATATGGGTTATAACACCTATGCAGAACCACTTTTGGACACATGTAGTCATATAACATCATTTGGGAAAGGCCCTACTTCCCTGTGTAGTTAGACATGACTCCTGCTGAACCCCTTCTGTTGGTTTTGGTTTGTTTTGAACTGTCATAGTGTTTAGCATGTTCATGCTTGATCTGATCATGCTTCTGCTTTATCAAATACTTTCTTATTTTTTCCTTCATAATTTTTAAAAACATTATTTAATATTCTCTCAATTCTTCCTCAAAACTCTTTATAGTTTTTTCTCAAAACATCTTGTCCTCCTTTCTAATTTAATTTCCTATAGTTAAACTTCAGTTTTTAACCTTGAACCTTTCTCTGTACTTACCAATATCTTTTTTTGCCCAAACACTAAACCACTCCTGTTCTTACTTCCTCCTTGAATATTTTGTTAGCCCTTCTTGACTCTTTTATTGATTTATAGGTAACCTAGACTTTTATTAATTTTAACCCCTCCCCCACTTTCCCCCAAGTCACTTGTTTTGTTTCTTCCAGTTGCTTCTTTCAAGCATCTGGGCTGAAGTCAGTTGCTCACAGTAGGACAAAAACAGTTCATCTCCTCCTACAATGCCATTCTTTTCTTGAGCCTTCACCTTTCTCCTAATGACCTCTGTGGAACTCCCATGTGGGTGAACACAGAAATCTTGCCTGCCTTCTTCTCCAAGCCTTCCTAGATTTTGCTCAGCTGTTTTCCAGCTCTTCCTTTCTCTGTTCCTGGCAGCTGTTAGGATTCTTGACTCTGCATAACAAAGTGTTGAGGGAAATGACAGGACTGCACACACACACACCCCTGACTTCTTTTTAAGGTCGGCTTTGCCTGGAATTCTGAGGTGTTCAGCCTGCTGGATTACTGATTATAGCTTCTCAGCTCCTGTCTTGCCTACACACACCCATAGCTCCAGCTGCAGTCTCCCTTCCTCAGCTCACCACTTCATCCTCTTTCTCCTTGGAGGTCTTAAAGTCTTGAAGTACTTAGTTTTGTGATTTCTGGTCTCCTTTTCTCCTTTTTTTTTGTCCTCTCCAGTTTGCCATTGTAAAGTTCCCATGAACACCAATCTCTTCTCTGATGAACAGCTCTCCTCCAATTAGTTCTCAACTGTCCCTGTTTAATACTGTTCAGCTCTACCTCCCTATTTCTAGAAGAGTGCTTGCCTATGTACTGCAGGACATGAATTTCTGTGGGAGACACTCAACTGGTGGCTTAATGACCTTGGTGAGAAGCAAGTAGATCTGCCATCTCATAACCATCTCAACTGTTTGTTTTTTTTTAGTTCTTCTGACTTTGGGATATAGATTGCTTTCACTTTCCCATTTTTAGAAGGATGTGGCTCACATTTATAGATCTGCAGAATGTATACTTTCATGTCTCTAAAAGATCTTGCTATTGCCACTTTCACTTGTTAGTAGTTCTACTCATTTACTAATTTTAGTGTTTAATTATTTGGCCTCTCTGTGGCTCCATCTATTTTTTGTATATGTATGTTATGTCATACCCTCCACCTCCAAGGTATATAATTTCATTCCATTATCTAGATTACTGATTCCTACTTACATATTCCCATGTCAAGCTTTTTCATGACATAGTTCAGGTGCTTCTGCATCTTGTTCTCTGGATCAGTTATAAGAAGTCTCCCAATCAAGGAGCAACAATAGATACTGCCAGAGGAGCCACTACCTTACCACTGCCATGACTCCATATGCTTCAGGTGCTTGAACACAAGTTTTTCTCTATAACAAAAGTCAGAGCTCTTGTTTTTCCCCAACTATTGGATCATATTAAATTACAATTTCAGTTGTTTGCTTCACCAAACTGGCCTTGTTCCTCTGTTTGTTCATTTGAACATTAAGAGGCTCCTTTCCTTTTTTCCATTCTGTATTAAAGAATTCCTTCCACTGGTAGCAGAGAGCAGAAATCTCACTGGAGACATTCCTTTTGTGCATCCTTTGGCAATGCATGTCCTCACCATTATCCATATCTGGATGGGTAGCCCATCTCTAGGGTTTCTGTATCCTAGGTGCTTGGCTTCATGACACATCAACAAACTCAAGGTTCTTGCAGTTTGGAAGGCACTGGAACTGTCTCCATGGTCATATTGTCCATATTTTATTGGACCATTCTGCAATAATCTAATTCATAAACCAAAATGTAGCACAAAGTTTCCCCCTCTTTTAAATCGTAAATTAAAGTTTGGATGGTTTTTTTTTCCAAAACAAAAATAGTTTTTATTAATCCATTTTCAAACAAATATACATAAAATAATATAAAATAAAAATGAACAATTTACCATACACAAAAACAAGAGGAAAGAAGAACATTACACAATAAGAAAGTACATAAAAAGAACAACAGAAACAAAAACACCCTGTAATTACAACTGTATCCTAAGTACACCAGATGTTGTTAGTCTTTAAAAGGAAAAACTAAACGTTCAATGTTGCAAGTCTGTCCAATTTTTTTTCCCAAAGGGAGAGATAATGTGACATTTTCTGTTTAACCAAATGTATAATTTTTTTTTCAAAAATTGCTAAATCACACATCTCTGAAATCCAGTCCTTTGTATCTGGAATTACAGAATTTTTCCATCTCATAAAGATTATTCTTTTTGCTATTGATAGAACATGAAAAATTCATTTTTGTTCTGAATATGTTAAATTCCAAATCATTGGCATATAATTCAGAACAATATACATATCTTTAAAAACTAGTTTTCTCAATAATTCTATCAATGTATTATAAAACATTACTCCAGAAGGTGTGTAAAGATCGGTCACCCCATCTTCATCCAAGTAATCCATACACCTGAATGCTAAAACACCCTTGTCAACCAACTCAAAGGAATCAGAAAAACCACCCACAAATAGAAACTGTATCCATTGGCAATGGCTCTCATCAAATTCCCTTGAGCTAACTCCAAAGCCAGTTGGCTTGCATCACAGGACAACTGGCACCAACCTGCTTGCATCTCAGAACAGCTGACAGTGCCTGTTATTTTGCAACAGAATGGGATAGATCCCCATTCTCTTGCTGAAGCCTTCTACTTTTCTAGAAATGAACTCAGATTTTACATGTGCATAGCCCATCACTTTGTTCACTGGAGTCCAGAAAAATATCAACATGGATTTAACCAAATGCTTTCTTGGTGGCCTTTGCAATAATGGCTGTGCTATTGTTCTGCCTTGCCTGTCAGTTGTACCTTCTGGACTTACCCAGTTCTTCTCCATCCATCAGGGACAAGTCTTCCATGCTGATCTCAATTCCCTCTGCATTGCAACTTGGAAAATTCCATTCCACCACCCCTTTAGACAAGATAGAGCAGGTTAGGTTAATTTCTCAGAAGCTTCTTACAAGGTAGTTCTCCTAGATCCACAGCTCTTGCAAAGCCCTTCATGGCATAGGGCCTAGCTTTCTAAGGAATTCCTCTCTGCTATTGTTTCTGTTTCTGGTAAGATTGAACAGAGTGGGCGTGCGTCAGGTCTGATCTATTAAGCAATGCCATCTAATGGAACCTAGTATAGAGCGCTATGGAATGGCCTTGAATGGAATTTTCAAAAGCTGTTACAGAAACAAGGACAGAAGTATTCCTTGAATCCTAGAAAGGAGATACTGTTAGGGAGAGACTCAAGCTGGCTCCTCCCCAAATCATCAGGTTATAAGAGGGAGGGAAGCACAAGCAGACCTGCAAGATTCTCTTACTATATCCTATATCAACAAAGTGTAGTTCTAATTTTCCCGTGGAGTCAGTTTCCTGACCTGGTCTATCTCATAGGACTGACACCTAGAAGGTGTCCCTTCTCTGTTGTGCCACCTGTCCACTGGAATAGTATTCCTTTGGAGGTTCAAACAGCCCTGACCCTCCACCTTCCTCCATCACTATAGTTTCACCCTATTCCCACAGAAATGTAATCTTTGAAAGGGTCTCATCTTTTCTTTGGTCAACTTGCTATCCTTTAAATGAACCTTGAAGACTTGGCTGTTTCCCCAGCCTCTGGGTTAGGTTGAGTATGCATCAGCCTGAAAAGGTTATATTCAGTGTTCGTGCTATGTCTGTTTCCCTTGGCTATGTATTTCTTTGTTGAATTAATATATTGGATTTTGTTTTTAATCTGTACCCTTCTGTGAGTTGGCTGTCCTTATAGACTGAAATTATAAATAAATAAGAATAAATACATGGTGGCCTTTCTTTTATATTTGAAACTGCTAGCTTTAGTTCTCTCTTCATTAAAGAGAGTCATATCATTATTTTTCCTTCCTCAGGCAGTACTTCTCTTTCTAGTCTGCTAATGAAGCATTTTATGAGCAGTCCGGTATATTTCCATCCAACATTCCTACCACTTTGGGCCTATAGTCTTGCCCTTGTTCTCTCTGTATTTTAACATTTAAATCCTTTCAGCTTGTGTCTCCTGTCCCAGTTCATTTCCTCTCATGGATGATAGTCTTTCTGGTAGCCAGGAAATTGGCTCATTGGCTGAAGAACTGTGTGCCTTATATCTTCCCTTCTTTATTTGTATAGGAATGAAGTAGCCTGCCCAGATACTTCCTTTCTTCCAAAATCAGTCTCAGCCTTCCATTTGGAATCATATTGCCTACTTTTTTCCCCAAACCCCAAAACACCACTGAAATCATGGCAGCATTCTTTAAATGTTCATTGCACTTTTGTTTTTTATCTGAATTATACAGAACCATTCACAAGAATCAATGTTTATTCTTGACCATCCAAGGTCCATCTAAAGAGCTTGGTTCTGCCCCCCACCCCACACTTCAACTCCCCAGCCCCCAGAATTTATCCTAAGGAATAATAGCAACTATCAAGTTTTGCCACAAGTTGGCCAAATAACTGAATTCCCTTCTGATCATATGCTTAGTTCACAAGAGAACAGCAGCATTGGAGCCTCCCTCTGGGGTTTTCCCATACTGGAGTTATGTCAAGCAGCCATGTGGGTTGTCCTCCACTTTCATCCATCACTATAGGCTGGATCCACTGACATAGAGATATAATTTTTGGAAGCATCATCTTTTCATTGGTCATCTTATGAACTAGACATCTGCTGGTTAAGAAGTTTGTTGCTTACCCATGTGAATCACAGAGATTGTGGTGAAGAAGAAATGGTTACCTGCCTATCACTGCAATTCTTGAGTGGTCATCTGTGAATTCACACAGCCCACCCTCCCACTAGCTTGGTCTCAAGTGACCTTATTGTTCTTTCAGATCCACTATATTGGTCTTAGGAACTGAGGGGGTTTGAGAGGAGCCATGCTTGCTTGTACAGTATGCATAGAGGGTGAGATTCCACTCAATAATTATCACAATTATGTAAACTGTAGAAGATTCTAGATGGGGTTCTGTGCATTTATCATCTGATTGGAGTCACAAATCGCCAAAGAACTGAAGCTACAGATAAATATGCCTCATTCAGTATAATTTTATATGTGCATAAATCTGATGGAGAGAAAGAAAAAGTATATTATATATACCAGATGTTTTTTTCTTTGTTCCCCCACTTGCTTTATATAGGGTTTGGGGAATCCCTCCCCCTCAAATTTATATATCCAAGTTTGGAGGACTTTTCCATCCTCCAATGGACCACCATGGCACTACTTCAGTGCTTCTGATGTCAGCAGTGTGGGAGGAGCCTGCTTTTGCTGGAGTCTGTTCTGCACACCTGTCATCTGTGGACCAGAGTACTGTCCATCCTTGCTTTGGAGCAAGTTGTTCTTGAGTGAAACACTACAAAACAGAAATTAGGTAGCCTTCCACTGTTTTCCACAAAACTTCCAGCTTCCTTTTCTTTTCAGGTGGAAATAGAGAGGAAAAAAAGCTTGAATCCTGATATCTTGGGAGAAGACACTGACAGTGCCAAGGAATGTGCTGTACAGTGAAAGAAAGAAGTAGCTGTTGTTTGAAAACAATAAATGCAACAGGATTTGAAGAAAAGGAACACTGTGCCTCACTTCTGCAGCCAGAAGAACCAGGAAGTATTTGGAGTGTCATATCTCTCTTACCATACTGAAAAAAATTCTTTTGAGATTTGTTTGCAGCAGCTTAGTATTCAGGTAGAATTACACTAAGTATATAGGCTTGTGGTGGACTCAAGCCTGTCTTCATCTGTTCCAGTATTCTTTCTATAGCAAATAACTATACAGGTAGCCCTTGATTTACAACTACAATTGAGGCCAGCACTTCCATTGCTAAGAGATGTGGTTGTTAAGTGAGTTGTGCTGGATTTTACAACCTTTTTGCCATGGTCATTAAGCAAATCATGTGGTCATTAAGCAAGTCTGGCTTCCTCCATTGACTTTACTTGTCGGAAGCCCCCAGAAAGGTCACAAATGGCAATCACGTGCTCCCAGGACATTGCAACTGTCATAAATACATGCTGGTTGCCAAGTGCCCAAATTTTGATTTTGTGATTGCAGAGATGCTGCAACGGTTGTAAATGCGAAGGCCAGTCATAAGTCACTTTTTTCAGCACCATAACTTCGAACGGTTGTTAAACAAATGGTTGTAAGTCGAGGACTACCTATATTTTGTAAGCTATAGCTATCACAATCCTAGTCTTGTTAAGTGTTTTCCAGCCATACACTTGACATTTCCTGATAACTGGTAATTCAGTCCTCAGTAGAGTTCTTCCAGGTGGTCTGCAACAGCCCTGGGGGTGGGGATGGAGGTATAGAAGTCATTCCCTGTTTTCTATCATGCCTATGGCTCACAATGAGAAATTGTAAACAACCTTTCCTCTCAGTTAGGTAGACAGCCATTGGGAATTCCAAATGAAAGACACATGAACTAACTGTTCCTATATGCCATCTTTAAGGCAGAATATTTAAATACTGTATACTTCCCTTGAGTAATCAGAAATCTTTTATGCATTAATTAGATGCCAGGGTTATTCTTTAGACATGATTTAGTTATAATTACCAGTTGGAAGGGACTAGGTTACTTTTGGATCATTCTTTCCTGGGAAGATAGGGGAAACAGATTTAATCCCCGCTAGATGTTTAGCTAGACTGGTTACCATTTGTCACTACTCCTTTAATATACTACAGTTTAAGTTTCGAAGGGGTTGGTGGAAAGTTGCTTAATTTTTTGTAAATGCTGACAATGTTACTTTCAAATTCTGTCCCAACATTACATTTTATTTCAGAAATACTGCAAAATAATAATTTTCCGTGTTGCTAGGCAATTAATATTATTACCTTATACAAGGTAGACATAGTGACAGTGCAGAGAAGGTTGTTATGAATTCTTGAGTCCAACACAGTCTTTTTCATAGAGATGAAAACTTCTTGAGAATCTCAACTTATAATTGTTTTTTAAGAATCAAGTTTCTAGTCCACAGGGTTCTGGAAATATTCTTAAATATGTCTGGGCATATCTTTGAAAAACATTCAATGACTAGATATTGGGGCTTCATTACTCTGCATATCCTTTTTTATCCTCCCTATGGTCAAAAAAGTAAAGTTACCAGTCGCTATAGGATTTGTAGTCCAACATACTGGAGAAGCACCACGTTAGTGAACAGCAAATATAATCTATAATCAGGCTTTTTCTCAAGCAGAATTTGGATTACTTTTGAATGGGTATTGATATGTCTGTATGAGTACAGACAATCCTGTTGGGTATATTGCCTCTGAAGATGCCAGCCACAGTTGCTGGTGAAACATCAGGAAATCTGTTGTTTAGACCACAGTCACTCAACCCTGAAGCCCAACACTGCTCGACAGATACTGACCATGAAAGCCTATACACAGAATCCTGTCTAAAACATTGCAATACCAGAAGTCCCAGCTTTAAGTCAATTATTAGGGCTAAACTAGATGCAAATGAAGTTTCACATATCTTGTCTTATAGAACATATTATTCAGAAAAATGGGGTTTAACACCTCTTCCCCTGGAATTTTGTGGTTATGATGAAATCACTGTCCAAGATTGTTACTTGTATAAGGAGGGGAAGCTGTCATTGGTACTAATGGCAGATTTACTCATGGGCAATTTCAATAGAAGAGAATATATGTAGCTCAGAATTGAACTATAGAGTCCTTGGTGCTCTCTGAGCTTGGTTGTTGGCTTGCAGACATTTCATTACCCAACTAGGTAAATTATCAGTGCGAATAAGTGTGGGGTTTGCTCCCTGTTTATATATAGTAGCTTGTTCCGCCAGTTTTGGTGGGGGTGTGGTTTTCTCCTTGGTAATTCTTTGATTATGGTAATGTTTTCTGCTTTATTGTTTGCCTGGTGTTAATCCCTGCTTATCTGGGTGTTGGCTGCTGGAGAGGATGTGTTCTGGTCTTTTTGTTTCC